TNTCCTCTCTCTCTCTCTCTCTCTCTCTCTATATATATATATATATATATATATATATATATATATATATATATATATATAACCAATTACTGCAGGCGCATTATGACCGTTCCGGAAAAGACGACTTCGAGGATGCTAGCATTTATTCAATTCTTTATATTGAAGCAGGCAAAAGCCCATCAAACAATTTCTTGCAATTAATTGCTGATCATGCTGGTGTTGTTGATACGGGGAAAACATTATCTTTCACTGTGAAAGCTACCGAACCCTTATCTACAATCACTTATCAGGTTGTTAACCACTATTATTGTATGTTTTAAACGTGTTAACAAGTGATAATGCACAAGACTTCTGTTAGCAAAAAGTTCGTAAGTGATTCAATGACAGTTACTGGTCTCTTTTGAATTCTCTCTGTTTGGATTATCATGAGGATTAACTGTTATTCTCTTATCTCAGCATATCAATTATCATGAGTGTCATTGATAAACGGAAACGATGACATTTTATGAGGTATGCTTCAGGTAATAGCTCGTGGATCGGTAATTCTTGTCCAACATATGTCAGTTAACGGTGATTTGGCAACGATTACATTCACAGCGACATCGCAAATGGCACCGAAAGCAATGCTAGTCGTTTACACTGTCCGAGCATCTAATCAAGAAATTCTGGTCGACGCTACCGATTTCCGAGTCGATGGCTTATTCCAGAACAATGTCAGTCATTCTACATTTTTAAAAGATTATCAAATGAAAGTCATTGATTGGGGGTCAAAGATTAAATAATTAGTCTGAATAATCAATTAAACAAATTAGAAGCATAAATGAAGATGTAAAATATAAAGAAATTGAAGAAAATCACAGTACCCTTTTTAGGTCTCACTTATGGCTGATCATACTACTGCAGAACCGGGCACTTCAGTAAAATACACCATAAAAGCAGATCCGCGGTCATATTGCGCTTTACTTGCAGTTGATCAAAGCGTCTTACTTCTAAAATCTGGCAATGACATCACGAAAGATTTGGTAAGTTTGGGATAAATTCATTAACATTAAATTATGAATCTTTTTTAACAAATTTTCCAGGAATCGGAGGAATTCGGAAGAATATAAGCCAAGATTTGATGTCCACATCTAAAGTCAATATATCATCTATCTATTCATGCTTACTGTATTATTTAGAATCAAATGATAGTTAATCACAACACAACGGTTCCTTCTGCAATATATTTTGAATATTTTGAAATGTTTGAAACATTAGCAATATCTCTTTTAAGATTGTCGTAATGGAAACACAATAATTTCAGGTAGAACAAGATGTGGAGCAATATGATACAACGGCTGTTGGACGTGGCTTCCGATCATGGGAAGCGGATGCACGGCGTCGAAAACGATCCATATGGTATCCATGGTGGGGAATTGGTGGTAGAGATGCGGCAACGATTTTCGATGTTAGCGTTTTTGTCCATTTTTTACAAAAGCTTTTTATGAATAAAGCAATAAAGAGATGGATCCTGTGAGTTGCTTACAATGTTTCAAGATCAGAATGATTTCTTCCTTAGATCCGTGTATGAATCAATTTGCAGAACTCAGGTCTGGTTGTTCTAACTGATGCGCTTCTCTTTCGTGGACCTGATATTGCAAGTAAGTATTTTCTGGAAGCCTTATGGCTGTATTTTCTTTAGGTTTTAGATATTATTCTAGCACACAAATTGGAAGAAAGATGAAAAGATTTCACCTTTAACCTTTTAAGCGTTATAATGCGCTACCTTGGATTTATGTATTTTGTCATTTTTTCGATTTCATCAAACTTCATACCAGTTAGCTTTGCTTATATAATAAGCAAATGTCCTTAGATGGTTGAATTGGTAATATAATAAGTATACGAATGAAATATACGCTGTCACAGTTGCACCGATATTTCACTTTTTTGTTGCTACTTTGCAAATAATCGCGGGAAAGTCACCGATACTAACCACTGCTTTTCTTACTATGCTGTAAATAACCGCGGGAAAGTCACCGATACTAACCATTGCTTGTAACCCCAATTAAGGTATGCTGATTATTGCTTTTGAAAGTGGAGAATATTTAATGTGCTTTTGTGGTAGTCGAAGAGATAATAATCGAAATTTCCCTTTCTCTTTGGTTAATACCAATGAATTCTCGATGATTTTCATGAGTCTAATCACCATATTATAACTGTCTAATGCGAGGGATTTCAATGAATGATCAAATGGGATATGATCGGGATGATCAATCGAAGATCAGCTGAGCAACCAATCTTTCCATGAGATCAATCTTTTTCCACTTTTCCTACTTAAAGCCAAATGTTAAACCTTTGACCTTTGGTGCAATTTGATGCATGACCTCTATTTGGAAGTTTTTTGTATAATTCATGAATGCGCTAATTGCACCATTACTCGAAAATGCTTAATGACTAAAAACAAATCATTCATTGGTCCCATATCTTTAATGCGGGTACGGGGGAGAGGTGGGATAATTTCCCAGATAAATAGATAATTACAATGAATAAATTACAAATTACATAATTACAACGAATTTCTAGATAGATAATTACAAGAATTCAAGTTTTCTCTCGGTTATTGGTCCCGAGATGTCGAAGTAATGTTTTGATACTTGGACAGTAAAGTATGTTTAGTGCTTCTATAATACTTTGACTTGTACTTTTCAATATGTAAATTTAAAGTTTGGCAGTTTATTTCATATTTGACATGTAAAATCATTCTTTATTCATAATTCTTCAGTCTACATTTCTGATTTGCTCATTGTTAAGGCTGCAATCATTAACAAAATGTATTAATTAATTAATTGTTGGTATGAATTAATCACATTTAACCTTTTATTACATTTTTTATTACTAATTAACACAAAATATTCATTTATAAGCCTGTTTATATTAAGTAAAAGCTGATTAATCTTCACACTTTCCGTAATATGTCACTATTATTAGTACTACTATTAGTGATAAAGTCACTGATATGTTACTGTTCGCGTTACAATCATTGGATTATTTTTAGCATAATATTACTAATAATAATATCTTCATTATCGATATCGTTTGTTTAGTATCATTCTTAGCAATATTATCATATCATTATCGCTGCCAGTATTACTAACAATCAAAACAGATTCGGAATTTCTAGTATGAGTAAAGGTTTGCTGATAATATCTGCATGAGCAAATAATATCAAAATTAAAATATCACCATCAGGAGCGGAAGGAGCTAATATTTCAGGATTTGCGCAACCAGTAGTAGCACAACCATTGGGCAGTAATTTCAATGCTAATATAATGTTAGAAAGCGATGTGGACTCTGCCGTCTCTGTGAAAAATTCTGTAACCACACGAGTAAGGAAGAATTTCCCGGAATCCTGGATATGGAGCGCTATTTTGGCCGCAGAGTAAGATCGATTCTATCCGCTTTTATCTTCTAACTTTATGAACTTGGAACTATTGATTGAGACGCGTTTATTTTAGATTCACTGTAGCTTTTTCTTCTTTTTCCTTCATTTCTTTTTTTTTTTCTAAAATATGAGTCTAATCTTTGATATGGCAGACAAATGTGGACAGAAGATGTAATTTCAGCAGTTTCACATCCGAACTCTAATGATGATTAAGTTAGTAAACGTACGCAACATTCATTCATAAAGAATGGGATGGAAATTAATTCGAGAAATGTCATTTCGAAGTTGAAAACGATTTACTTAACTTTGACAAACTTTACCGGTTTGGTTACTTTAGAAGGAATGCTAACTCAAATTGGATAGTCTTTCATGACAATTCATATGAGGCTATAAACTCGATTGATCTCTTGGTTACTCATTGCATATCTCAGCCAAAGTCTGTTTCCTTCTTTATGCAAGTGCAAAACGCATATTCTCCATTTTTTAAAATTATGAGAAAAAAAAAAGGTTACATTTTATGTGACATGCACTTTTTCCATCCTTCACAACCGTTGCATCTTTTTGTGTCACCATAATACAATTATATTTGTTGTCAATGTCTTTTAAATCTCTCCAATCACTGATTAAATATAATGCCGTAATATTCAACCACAGTCAACTATAAGCTTCTGATCCATCACAATATTATCACTGATACCTGGCAATGAATCATCTCACAGTAGTTTGTTTATCAACTTCCGTTATAGTTTAATTTTTGAACTGTTATCAACACAGCAAGCCTTTATAAATCAAGAATGCTTCAGTAACAGTATGATTGCAGAGGTCTCTGTTGAACGTTATGTCATTTCTAGTACTAACATCAGATTGTGATTTCACTGGAAGTGATTGTAATTATTAGTTTTTTTTAAGAGAAGAGATAGATAATGATGTGAATAGTATAGTGATGATATGGATATGATAAGGAAGAATATCATAGAATCATACAAGGATAAGATATCATTTCTCTCTTTCAAATGAGGCTTATTATCATCATTCTTTCATCCTTACCCACTTCTAACTCGATATATGTAACGTGACTTTCCCAGATTTCTATTCTTTCCATCAACTTCATGACACATATAGTTCAACTTAAACTCTTAAAATACCGTCTGTTTAAATTACACTAACTTATGTTCTCATAACAGTTATTACAATCATGAAGTGAAAATGATTCTCTTTATAGCATATTGTCTGAGATTATCAGATAAATTTGAAAATAAATCAGTTGTGGTAGAAATTAGAGAGCAGATTTCAGAGGACATTTGCTCTATTTGTTCATCCCTAGCTTTCCATTTCCTGATATTATCAAATATTATCAATTTCGAGGAAGCAAATTTTTCGCATTAAATTTCGCATTAAATTTCATTTTTTATATTTCTATTTATCATTTGCACACCTAAATTCTCTTTATTCTGAATCAATGAAAATCCTTTTTATCTTCACCTTTGACATTGCTTCATTGTCCTTTGACTTGCAAATATGTTACAAACAAATGTTCTTTAATTCTACAATGTTTCTTGCACAGTGCATGTTATTATGCATCCTTTGCGTGTTCTCACTATTTACTACAAGCATGATAAGCATCTATCATTGGCAAATATAACGGTTTGATTTAACACAAATAATAGCGTTTGATTTTTGGCTAATACATTTCAGGCATATCCTGAAAATGTATAAAAGAAAGATGGTAGCATTCAATTTATCATTTAATCAGTATTCCCATTTATGAATAAAATTAAAACTAAAATCATTTATTATTGAAACTTTGTTGCAACTCTGATATCAATTCTACAAGTAATCATAGCAATGTGTCTGAAGAGATAATTATCAAATTCATCAATTTTTCAAACACTTCACTATGTTTTTAAAAATTACACAAGCCATGGAGTGCATCATTCTACCCTCTTTCAGCTAATTGCAAAATGAATATCACTTTATCATCGCAATCCTTTAAATATTCTTATTTATCTTTTTTCTTCTTTATCAGCACCGTAAAAGAATAGTTATTTTTTTTATTGGCACTGCATGATATCACCATCAATGAAAAAGTATTATTGATCATATAGTATGGTCATCTGATAATATTGTCACTGATTAGTGATAACAGTCATCCTTGCATGACATTTTATCCGTCATTTGATTCTTTCATTTCTCTCATAAATTACATTACCATAGCAATCCTTCCTTGACAATAGATTTCCCCTTTTCGATGCAAAGCTTTGATCCTTTGCTTTCGCTGAAATTTGTTCATTCCAAGCTGACCTGATTGGCTTTTTTCCATTTTAGTGAATTTCAAGACTTGGCGACGATTTCCAGCAATCGCATTTGGTGCTGCGCGTTCTATACTTAAAGTAGGTGTGGATGAAGGAATATCGGAGGAAACTTCCGACTTATATGACTTACCTAAGATACGGAAATTGTTTCCGGAGACATGGGTTTGGAGCAACATGCGAACTCGGTACTGTTTATATCATTCTGTTCTTACGAACTATTTCCTGCTCCAGTTGGTATCAAAATGAGTAACAGTGAAGTTCTGATTAATTAATATAAAGAATCCAAATAGATATCTGACATAACTTCACTATTAGAATTACTGGTCTTAATCCGACGACAAATTAATGACTAGATATCCCATTTATTCGCTTAGTTTTTTAACTTATCATTTTTAGCATTTGCTTTCATACTGCCTAATTAATTAATACAAATAAATGCATCAAGTAACGGATAATTAAATTATCTATGTTTAAGCCTTAACCTTTCTTAGCTATATTATATGATATTACTTACTTAGCTTAGCTTATGATATAGTAATTTATTGTCAGAAATGAAGTCATATAATTTGCATACAGTTTCACGTACTATTTTCTTCATTATTTCTCCACCCAATGGTCATTCATGGTGACACTAGTCTTCTTCACATCACTTGACGTGTCATAATTTCACACTTGCGTTGATTGCTTTCGTGCACTTTTGAAATGCGTTATTATTTTTATAACATTACGCGTCACACGTACACGTAATCTATTCAGTGCTGTGCTATGTGCTCGTAAATTTTAACTCTTCTAGGCCGTTTTAAGCCAAGTTTTTTTCTTCATTTCAATAACGCTCATTTTAATTTGCTTTCTTTTTGTGCCTAAGCCAAAATTTTCAACTTCTAAATATGTCCTCATTCCACTTCTAAACGTGTCCCCATTCCACTTCTAAACGTGTCCCCATTCCACTTCTAAATGTGTCCTCATTCCACTTCTAAATGTGTCCCCGTTCAAGTTGTCTCCGTATAAATGTTAATGTTAATCTGTTTTCTTGAAGGATGGCAGAAAACCTGTTCCTGTTTTTAGCATACACTTTACTTATGGCACTGAAAATTCTTGAGATCTTTGATTGGAAACAGATGATCTTACAAAAAAAAAAAACAGGTTTTTCTGTTGATATTGCAACAGGATGACTTGAAGAAATGATCATTCCGCTCTATGTCTTATCATTATCATTCAGTCTTATCATTCACTCTGTGTCTTATCATCCTTACTGTGTGTCTTATCATTTCCACTTGTAAAAGGCGGTTGCTGAGAGAAAAATTGAGCACTTTATTTCCTGCAGAGATGTCTTCTTCAATTGGACGAGAGAAAAGTTCACTGTAATTAAGTAAAATATGCAAATTTTCTGTAAGACTGATCCTTTTCCTTGGGATATTAAGGATAACAGTAAGTGAAATCTATTGGAAATCTCATAACATATTGTACATCAATATGAGTTCAGAATTACTGCAGCGTTGTTAGAATCCAGAAATATTTGCATCACAACACATGCCTAGAAGGAAACAGGTTGTCGGATAGAGACGACAATGATTTGATAGGAAATCTTGATGAGGTCAACGACCTCTTTCAATGTGACCTTTTCCTTCGAAATACGGCAAGTTGCATGTGGCATACTTAAAAAGAAAGTAGGGTAAACTCTTAAGCTTGCTATCAATAACAGGCAGTACGGCCAATTAAACTTGCTGTCAAAAGAAGAAAAACTAGGCATAAGGCTATTTTTCAATGATTAAGATTCGATTTACTTGTTGATATTTTGTATCAGTGATTAATTTAGCACAAATTTCACTGTTTAAATTTTGAAACTTACTGGTCTTTTTATAATGAGATAAGAGAACATTTGTGAATAATATGGAGAAAGAGACAAAAAAACCTGAACATATTAGACTGAGAAAAGAGGAGAGAAAAATTCTCTAAAGTAAAACCATTTTTATACTGATTTTTAGAGAAGAATTTTTCGAATAAAAAGAATACTTTGAACCTTTAATAGCATTTATTTTTGATTTGAAACTTTTCGGATTCTGTTATTAAAGAACTACAAACTAGTTCACTGTGAGAGAAAGTTTAAAGATGTGAACTGTCATCTTCTCTCACGCAAAAACGCTTTCTGAAATTTTTAGATGATGATTGAACATTGAATATGTAGATAATTCAGGGACACCGGAGAGGCTGTTTTCGAAGCGGTTGTACCGGATACAATAACATCCTGGGTTGCAAGCGCTTTTGCTATCAGTGATGAGACTGGCCTTGGAGTTGCTCCATCCACCTCAAAGGTAAAATTAACAGTATAAAATTCTTTTTCCTTTCAGGTAAATCATATTACTTCAAATATCTTTTCTGACTGATTCGATTGAGAAGGCGATATCCTTTACTTTCAAATGAAGTAATGTTTAATCTGTATATTTACAATTTGTTTATATTTATTTAATTCTAGCTCACAGTATTCCGACCGTTTTTCATACGTATCAACCTTCCGTATTCCGTAAAACGTGGAGAAAAGTTCGCTTTACAAGTGTTAATCTTCAACTATATGGATAATGAGCAAGATGTTTGTTTGTTGCGTCATTCATACATCGATCATCTTAATTATAATTATAATTATGATTTTATTTTTGTTTATCATTCATCATCATTGTTGTCATTTTTGTTGTTTATTGAATGTACACATTAACTATTAAAATTGTCATCTTTCTTAGCTAATGACAAGTTTTTTGCACAGGTAACAGTAACATTGAAAGATGGCGATGACATTGGTTATGATTTTCTACAAAAAGATGGTACAACTAAGAAACCTACCAGGTAGATTAAATTATTGCAGACATCACCCGTATTGAAATATGTGTGATAGTTTCTCTGATTGATTATATAGGAGTTTTTTAACTGCACTCATTATTATCACTCAAAGTTAACCTATCTATTAGTAAATTTTTCTTTTTTACAGTAAGAATATGAAGAGTAAGAAGTACAATGTAAGATTTATATCGGTGCCAAGCGGTGGTGTACCCAAAGCAGTCTACTTCCCCATTGCACCAACCAAAATTGGTGATGTTATACTTTCCGTGACAGCACAATCTGCTATAGCAGGTGATGCAGTAGAGCAAGTACTACGAGTCGAGGTATATCTATTACCTTTTTTAGTCTGTCATTAAGCCGGAAATGATAATTGCATAATTGCAGCCGGAAGGATATCGAGTAGACAGAAATACTCTTGTAATGGTCGATTTGACACAAACGAATGGTAGTACCGAAATCAAAAAGCAAATAGAAATGCATTTTCCAACGGATGCCGTGGAAGGATCAAAGAAGGCACGATTTGAAGTCATAGGTATCATGCGAGTATCCTCTATTATCCTTACTTGATAGAATTTGTTTTGATTGATTCTTATTAGATTAACAATCCGTTCATTTAATGTTCCATCAGTAATGTTCACATTTCACTTACATGTGTAATCGAACATTCAACAAAGAATGCTATTCCTTAAATATTTTATGCTTCTTTATTTTCTCTTACTTTTTTTGCAATACCCATTTGAAGATATAATGATGGTGATGACAACTGGTGTTATACCGTTTGTGTTAATGACAACTATTCTATCTCTCATTTCAGCCATCAGGAATTTGACTTAAAATTAATACTTGAAATAAGATGCAGGTTGACAAAAGTAGGAATTTGTTTATGAAAACTTGAAACAATATTAAATTTGTCAACATAAAATTGGTTCAGAAAGAGATTGGATATACAACAATTTTTAATGTAATCAAAATCACTGATAGATTGGATACAAATAAACTTTTAATAGGAAATATACCTTTAACGCTGATTTAATTAGCTCTTAATAATCGTAGTAACTTCAAATTTCAAATTTATATTTATATTCATTTTTTCAATTATCGCTTTTTGAGGAAGATTTAAAAAGTCTTCATGTTCTTCTCAATCTTCACCAGTTCTACAATAATTTACCTATTTTCACCTAAATGTTTACTAACATTTTCATTTCAGGTGATTTATTGGGTTCAGCTCTTGCTAATATAGATTCTCTCATACGTATGCCATACGGTTGTGGTGAACAGAATATGCTCAATTTTGTGCCAAATATTGCTGTACTTCGGTATCTAAAAATCACAAAACGAGCCGAAACCCAAATTGAAAATAAAGCAAAGAAGTACATGGAATCTGGATATCAACGGGAACTTACTTATCGGTAATTTTGCATGGTTAATTATAACGATATGATAATTGATGAGAGGAATACACCTAACTGATTTTTAAATTTCATATTTGGGACTAAAAGCATTGGGATTTCAAAATTATCAGTTTGAACTTCTGATAAATCTTGTTAACAATCACTGATGATTAAAGTGTTAGTGATAATTTCAGTGCTAGAAAGACCAAATAGAAATTTGCTTCATATTTGAGTCTTCGTTTGGTGTGATTGTTAAATGAGTGAAACTTGAATGAAATATCTGTCAATTTACAATATAAACCTTTTCCTTCTCTTCTCTTTATTCATTTTGTCTCTTTTATCACTTCTTAATCTTATTTGATCTGTCTTTTAACATAATTAAAAAATAAGTAGAATACTTTCTAATTCGTATTAATAAGAGTCAGAGGATGAAATTCTAAAATTTCCAATCCTGAATATGTGACGCGTGGTTAAACAAAACCTTTTATTACATTAGATTGCAAACTGCAGCGAAGTCTTGCTTAGTTATAAATCGTTCAAAGGAAGAAATTTTCTAATCACACATTGAAAATTTTACTTTAATATTGATTTCATTTGATATCAAAATTCATAGTGTCATAGTATAGTTTGAAAACTTTGGTATCAATCTGAAAGTTACCTCATATCTGACACTAGCATGAGAACCAATTCATAACTTGAACCCTGAGAGGATCTATGATATGAGCTTCTGAATTCATCTGTTCTAGGAGGGATGACCATTCGTTCTCAGCGTTTGGTCAAAGCGATAAACATGGATCAACATGGCTTACAGCATTTGTTGTTCGATCTTTCAAACAAGCTCAGCAATTCATTTTCGTCGATGAGCACATCCTTCAGAAGTCCATTGCATTCCTGAACGCTCAACAACAGCAGGTTGTTGTTTCATTCCTCTTTTCCTAATGTCAGGGCAAATGGCAAATTAGTAGTAATCAGAAGTCCATTTTATCGAATAAATTGCTAATTGTCTTGTTGCTTACAGGAAAATGGTGCATTTGCCGAACGTGGTGAAGTTCATCATAAAGCGATGCAAGGTGGTGCATCTGAAGGTGGCGTGCCACTAACCGCTTACGTATATACTGCGCTTCTTGAAAACGGGGTTGGTTTTATGTAATTCGATTTCTTGGAATAATAAGTACATTTAATTAGATCTTCGTCAAGAATAAATTTGATGTGGGACGACTTTCCTGGGATCTGCATGAGCTTCTTCAACAACTACAATGCTACCTTGTTGATAATCTCTAACCAAGTCCAACTCTAGGTTGTTGACAGTCTCGAACTGGTAAACTTGAAGAAACAGCTGTTGTGTAGTATCTGATACTTTAGGTTAGGGATGAAAAAGCACAACACTATCTGGAGCAGCATCTCGAGGAAATCAAGAATGACCCATATGCATTAGCAATTGTCACCTATGTATTTCACTTGGCTAATAGTTCTAAAAAAGATGAAGCGCTGAAAATGCTCGAATCTCATAAAAAGAAAGTTCTGGTAAATTTTATCATTTTTCTTGCTGGAATGACTTGAAATCTTTTTCGTGAGGGATAATTCATTGTATTTTCAGTTGTGTAGCATTAATGCATAGCGTACGTAAATTGCGTAATTTAACAAAGATAATAAAAGATTAATGTAGTATGCTTTCTAAGATTCAAAATATTAATCCTGATGGTTTTATGTTTTCAAGGATAAAATTTAATATCTAAATTGCAGACGGTGTTCACTGGTCTATGAAAGTTGGTCAGGAAAAGCCGAAGGATACACAACATTACTTCTATCAGCCAAGGCCTGCAGATGTCGAGATGACAGCCTATGTTTTACTAACATATATGATAAGAGATGATACTGATAAAGCTTTTCCTTTGGTGAGATGGCTTACATCACAACGAAATGCATACGGTGGCTTTAGTAGTACGCAGGTTAGACCAATGAATTATATATATATATATATATATATTACGTATTCGTTGTTGCTTGATTCATAATTGACAATAATAATGTGGCATGTAACAATAATAATAATGCAGGATACAGTAATGGCATTGCAAGCTTTGGCTGCTTACGCGGCTAAAGTTTATTCTCCCCAACTTAATGTCAGCATTACGATAACAAATGGTGCCGATAAGCAAAATTTCGAAGTGGCAGCTGACAATTCTATGGTACTACAAAGTTATCAGGTTGTTATTACTTTAGTTACTGCTTCACAACATTTAAATTTGATGACATTCATATTGATACAACTAATAATGGAAATGATAGTGATAGGTTAACCGTACGAAAACGATCCGAAGTCTCATCATCTATTGACGGCAAAGCTAATATGACTTCTCACTCTTAATCATCCTTGTTCCCTAGGAAATTATTAGTAATAGCGTGATATGAACACCAACAACAGTGATTACTTTTAGTAGTTGTAACTACTTTAGCAACAGTAGGAGAAATTCTGAGCAGTGCAGTCTACAGTTTCGTCAGGGATTATGGCAAATTGCAACTATCTTTCTTATGATATTCAATTAATTCTTTTGAAATACATTTTAGTTGCAGTTTACTTTGTTCAACAATTATCTTTATATCTCCATAAACACTCATTTTCGATCTGTTCAAATCATTTCATTTAATTTAAAGACGTTTAATGCTATATATGCGTTCTTCTCATTTTCTGAAAATCTTAATAGGGAGTGAAAAAGAAAATTAAATTGTAGTTGGCAAATTTGGACGACAAATTAGAACTGGAAGCTCGAGGTAATGGTATTGTTCTTACACAACTACAGTATTCATATCACCGTATCGCGATGAGAGATGATCTTCCGTTCTACTGTACAAAAGATGTTCGTGAACTGCACAGTGGCAATCGATTACAGCTTGATCTGTGTTGCAAGTATCTCCTTTTATCGAACATTAGATATTATCTTGTACTTTTTATTCTTTGACCTTTTAGTGCCCACTTGATTTTTATTTTCGGCATATGATCCTGAATTATTCTACTGATTTGATTACAATACTTTTCCCTTCCAGTTACACTAAGCCAGATTCACGTTCCAATATGGCGGTTGCTGAAGTAGATGCCTTATCCGGATTTCGCTTTGATGGTGATCAGCTTGGCAATCTTATGGATATTGGCGATTTGCAGAGAGCTGAATTAGATAAAGAGGATACTAGGATGAACTTATATTTCAATCCTGTATTAAATTACTATTTTTCTAAAAATTTAAGCGATGAACTAGAATTTGTGGCGGGAAATATTAATCACTATCAGTTTTTAGTGCGGAAATTGATCATCGTTTTCTCCTCAACAACACTTAGCAATATGCAATCAATTGCTTTTTCTCACAACTCAAATTTCTTGTTATTGAAAATATTCTTCTAGGCTAGCCTGCATGTCTGATAAAGCTAATTATACTTTCTATTAAAAGGAAAAAAAGTGATTAGATAGGATTAATCATTGAGAATCAGAAGGAAGAAGAGCATTCCTCATTCATCATAAACTTCAACAACACAAACAGAATATATTGCATGTTACAGATTGGTTCAACGCCGATATGTCTCTCATTGTACAGTGATATGGTTTATCAGATATCAGAACAAAAACCGGCACAAGTTGTTCTGTTCGACTACTACGACCCCGAACAACAAGTATTGTCTATGATGCAATTTTTTGCTTTCATTACTTGATCTTCGTTTTCCATGCAATGCAGTCATATGTATCTTAATTGTTTAACGGATAGATCATATCTTATGGATCTTCTACAAAAGAATAATTGAAATTAAAATTTGATTTGTCAGTTTAGCTAATTAATTTATCCTCAAGTTCAAATTTCACTCATTATTTATCGAATCATAAAGAAATTCATTATGCTATTCAAGGTTCATGTTCCGGTTTACAATGCATTAATGTATTATAGGTGAAGACGACCTATACGGCTAAGCAAACGAGATCGTTGCAGGATGCTTGTCCGGAATGTTGGCCAGCGGTTGAGCTTAGCGAAAAAAGTGCAGGTATTATATCACTGCGTGCTGAAGCCTCCTCAACTATTATTGGTACCAAATTGCATGTTATCGTCCTGTTTGCTTTACTTCTTTCAATTGTTAGGCTGTAACCTTCCGTGAGAATACTCGTGCCTTATTGCTTGGATCGAATTTTATTGTTTACTCAGTTATGAAATAACCATTTTTGCTCTGACATTAATAATATTAATTATTTATAACACAAATGTTTGGGCTCTTTGAATGAATAAACGTACATGTACAACACACACACACACACGCACACACACACACACACACACACACACATATATATATATATATATATATATACACAATATATACACACGCATACAAACACACATGCACATACACACGCAGGCATGTATTTATTGTTATCACATTTTTTAATAGTTGCTATAAACGAATGAAAGATCACTTGTAGAGATGCTAATTTTGAGTTTTAATCACTAAATTGTCCCAGTGATTATTTAGTAGGAGAAGAACGAGCAAAGATGTTAGCTTTCGGGGAAATTAATTAGACTGAATTTGTGCCTACATTTTTATTTTAATTAGAAGGAATCTAACAACTCAAAGTTCACCTCTTTCACTTGACAAAAAATATAATTTGTATACGTCATTTTGTATGAGCATTTTGATTGTGATCGGGAAATGCTGTTGTGGGACATTCTTGCTTTTTTCTCTTTTCATTTAAACTTAAATTTGTGCAGACATTGAACTTATCCAAATTGTTTGAACTTTTTTTTCTTTCCATTTGAACTTTATGCAAACTTTGAACTTATCCAAGTTGTTCGAACTCCTTCTGTTCTCTCTTGAATTTAAACTTTGTGCAAACTTTGGACTTATCGAGTTCGTAATTGTTTGTGGGCTTGCTAAAAAAAGACAAGTTGAATCGAAAAAATTTTCAGTCGTTATATGATTTGGAAAATCTTACTCCCATTATCATCATTACCATCATCATCTCCCTGAGAATTGCCAGAGGTCTGGGAATGGAAACAAAATTTGATCAATTTTATGTGTGGAAATATATGGTCAAACAGATGAGCAAAAATTTTTTAATAGAGGTAGGATCTGATATGGTATTACTTTATTCAGTTATGTGTTGGATAGTGCGCTAGATGGTGTTTTTATTTATTACTATTTTTAACTCATTAATTTGCCTGTCAGCATGATTTAATGAAGTGAAGAATTGCCGTGCTCTTCCGAAAATAAATTTTAGTTTTTGTGGAATCATTTTAAACTAAAATGCGTAAAACTAAATTATGATGGATACTTTTTTTAAATTCATTTATACTTAATCTCTCGTTGATATGAAATTTCGAAAGTGTATAATTTTCAATTTATTAATCGAATTGGTCGGTTGTTTGAAACTGTTCGATTCATTCGACTAAATTTCAGCTGAGTTTTATTTTCGGCTATATATATATTTGTACATTAAGTTATATAAATTCTGCTTTGTTTTATTCTCGAGGGGGAACAGGAGACTGATACCTGTAGCAGTAGTAGTAAGAAGAAATAATTCTCAGGTTAAGGGATAAATGTATCATGGAATAGGGTTTATGTCGAAATGAATTTCAGGATAAAGGAAAACTATCACTTTCCTCGGTATCATTGAACAGGATGACAACAGTAAAAAAAACGACATCTTCCAATGTTTCTTCCCTATGTTCATGAAATTCATCTGATTCTTATTTGCATTTGTAATTCATGTTGGCTCATTGGCTATAAATTATAATAATGTTGACAATTTCTCATTCCTGAAAATAAATTATTTAAACTTTGAAAAGTTGCACACGCATATTAAAAGTGACTTTTTGTTTCTCAAAAGAGAAAAGGTAATTGGAAGAGTAATAGAGAATAAAAATATTATTGGATATGTATGCATATATTTTTTCATTGTTTAAATTGAAACTTTTATTCATTTCTTTCTCGAAATTTTTTAAAATGAATTTTCATTTTCTTAGAAGTGTGAAAACATGGCAGTTATTGAAGAAAATTTCAAATAATTCTTGCCGATATTTCTTGTCGTAACATTTTTTACACATCCATCAATGAATAAAGAAGAAGAAATGCTTGGTGATTTTTATTAGCAATAATATTATTTGGTTATAATTAGTACAGGTTATTCTGGGAAATATACTGGTTCTCCTACAAACAACGGAAACAAATGAAAGAGAAAACAAATAACGATGATAATCTTATCACAATTCCTCATTACCTCTCTCTCCCTTCCAATTCCATTGAATAATAGTAGTGATTGTCAACTATTTCATAAATTGGAAACATGAGGAAACAAAAAGAATGAAGCAAATAAGAAAGAGTCTGGTAGATTTTACCCTATGATAAATAAGCAACCTGCTATTAGTTATTATTTATTATTTATTATTTACTATTTGTTATTATTATTATTGTTATTATTATTATTATTATTATTATTATTATTATTATTATTATTATTATTATTATTATTATTATTATTATTATTATTATTATTATTATTATTATTATTATTATTATTATTATTATTATTATTATTATTATTATTATTATTATTATTATTATTATTATTATTATTATTATTATTATTATTATTATTATTATTATTATTATTATTATTATTATTATTATTATTATTATTATTATTATTATTATTATT